TGGACCCTCTGCAGAGGCTGTGGTGCCGGACCCCAGCTCAGCATACCCCTATCTCCTCCTGTATGAAAGCCGCCAGAGGCGATACCTGAGCCCACCGCCAGAGAGCAGCGCGCCCTATAGCAAGGACCGGTTCGTAGCCTACCCCTGCGCTGTGGGACAGAAGAGCTTTTCCTCTGGAAGGCACTACTGGGAAGTGGGCATGAATCTCACCGGGGATGCACTCTGGGCCTTAGGCGTGTGCAGGGACAACGTGAGCCGGAAGGACAGAGTGCCCAAGTCACAGGAAAATGGGTTCTGGGTAGTGCAGCTGTCCAAGGGGAAGAAGCACTTGTCCTCGATACCGGACTCCGCTACAGTCACACTCACGGAGCCTCCCAGTCACATGGGCATCTTCCTGGACTTCCAGGCCGGGGAGGTGTCCTTCTACAGTGTGAACGATGGGTCCCACTTGCACAGCTTCTCCCAGGTGACCTTCCCTGGGCCACTGCTGCTGTTTTTCTGCTTGGGTGCTCCAAAGTCGGGCCAGATGGTCATCTCCACAGTGACCATGTGGGTGAAGGGTTAGAGGCTTGGGACCAGGCACAGTCAGTCGCTGGGCCGTGCCCTGGTTCCCCGGAAGGCAGGACGTTTCACCACCGTGGCCACTTACCCAGGCTTTCTCTGGGTCGCTAAGAGGCAATACCTATGCTGGCAGGGCAACTAACCGAAATACAATCACGATTAAAATGCTCGAATATGAACGGACTACTGATAAGATGCGAGATGCGGTAACTTTGGAAAGAGTCCCGACATTTCCCGGTGAACTAATTACTAAATATATAATTGCTCACTGTGCAAGTTGGTCTTTCGTTTTGTTAGCTTTGTCCCGCCCCGAAGCTTGCTAATTCCTTGGTTCCTAGTGCCCTTCTCTGGCCATCCGGTCCTTCACAGAGAAAGTGGAGCCCCACCCCGCCCCCTTGAGATAATTAGGGCTCCTCTCCCCTTCCTCAGCATTCCCTCTCCGAAGAACCCCTCACTCTCCATTCCCGTTACAAGTTAATGACACCCCCGGGACTCAAGTGAGGCGGTGCACTGGCAAGCATGCGTTTCCCAAGGGATTTCCACTCTGGGCTTTCCGGACCCGCGGCGTGACACCGCGTCTCGTTTGGCATACTGGATTACTCAGGTCTGCCCCCAGACATGAGGGTGGCGTTGGGGGTGTCTGAGCGACAACGGTCCAGGGGTGCCGAGGGCTGTGGGCAGAGGGTGAAAGCGCACTGAAAAAAACGCCAACACCAGTGCCCACTCCTTGGGTGTTTCCTTTTCCCGGGATCGCCCTGTGCCTCAAAACACCACAAGCCTTCCCGGACTTGCGGCTAAAGTTTACTTCACGCGGTGCCTGTGGAAGCGGGGACACCACCTGCAGAGACCTGTCACTGTGAATGAGCGCTCTAATGCGCTCTAATTCGGTCCCACCCCCAGGCCGTGTGACAAGCAGTGACCAATCCACGACAAAAGCGGGTTCCAAAAAACATAAAAATAAAAAATGAGTTTCCTGCT